GAGAGAGAGAGAGAGAGAGAGAGAGAGAGAGAGAGAGAGAGAGAGAGAGAGAGGTTGTCACACTATGAAAAGAACTCTCCTCTGGAAACAGCTTACTTTGATTGCCAGGAAGTACAAGGCATAGAATGTAGTAACGGAACTCCCCTCTTCCTCCTAAGGAACCATATTGATGGCTTGCATTAAACCACCAGTACTCCCGAAGCAGCCTTCCCGAACCATTGGTTTGGCAAGCTACCGAACCTCTTTGCCTCGTGCAAGAGCAGCTAGTTGGCAGACGAGAGACAGTGGGGGACTGGTAGTTCGAAGCGGGAGACCGGTATGTGTATGCCTGCTTTTTTTTTTTTTTTTTTTTTCCCCTTCTTCGTTTCTTTTTGTTTCCCCCCTTTTATCTTTCCCACAAGGTTTAGCCGTGACTGTCAGAAGAGCTGTCAACGGCGAGGGTGGCGGGACCTCGTCAGCTCATCCAAAAGAAAGCGTTTCAGGGGGATGCTAAGCTTCTTCTCTGTATCATCCCGCGTTGTAGAGGAGGATTCATTCCCATTTTTCATGCCTACCCACGACCTCCCTACACTACCCGACTCATTCATTGCATCGCTGTTTTTTTTTTTTTTTTTTTTTTTTTTCCCTGCTTGTCATCGTGTTACCGTTGTGCATTGAATCTTCGCTGTATCTTACAGAGAAGATTCATTGAATCTTCTCTGTATAGGATCGCTCTCCATGTTTTTTGGTAATCATTCGCTGTATCTTACAGAGAAGAGTCATTGAATCTTCTCTGTATCTTACGATGCTATTGCAGAAGATTCATTCAAGAAGTCTAGCAGTCTAAGGGCCTGTATTCATTCCAGAAGTCTAGCAGTATTTGAAAAAAAAAAAAAAAAAAAGGGTATAGCAGTCTTAGGGCGTCGAGCCACGATTCACGACGTGCAGAAAAGACAAAAAAAATGGCGTTGAATCTTTCCATGTTCCAGTGGAGTATGCATTCTCATTTTGCACTTTTGGAGAGTAGTGGAGCGAGGCCCTACCTCGACGATCTGAACCGTTTCTCAGTTTATGCATGCCATCCGGCCTTGCTCCACTACTCACCAAATGTGCAAAATGAGAACGAATTTTACGCCAGAACCTGCCTAGATGCACGGGCATATTTTTTTTGTCTTTCTTGTGCATGTGGGAGTAGTGGAGCGCGGCCCTTCGTTGGACGGGGCCATGTAGTGGAGGGCGCGCAAGGCCGCAGTCCCTGCCGATCTTGAAGCCACCGTCCGCGCCGTTCTGGGAGGCTTGTCGCGTCAGATTCCCTGTGGACAACTGTTCGTTCTTTTTTTCTTTTTTTTCGATCTTTTTTTTTTTTTTTTTTTTTTTTTTTGCTCGTCTTCTCTGGTCGCTGGTTTCGAAAACAAAATCGAGCGACCACCCGCCCAGTAGCAAGCCTCCACCAAGCCTGTGCCAGGCCTGCCAAGGTCCTCCATGAATTCTGGAAGGCAATTTTTTTTGCCAGGGCGGGGTACGTGTGGTTTAAGCTATAGCCAGGATCATCTAGGGGAACTCATTGCCTCTTTGTAGAGATATTGGGACTCGTATCTTAGACGCACTTTTCACTGTATTTGCGGCATTTTGATGCCAGTCAGTTGTTGTTTCAACTCTCCTCTGGAGTGCTATCCAGCTTCATGCATGTTAGTGAAGTTCTTCGATATCTTGAGTCTTTTAAGGTATAATTCACTATTTTCAGTCAAGCTTGTATATCAATCAAAACAGAATAATTCTATAAGTCAAGCTTTCCATTCTTCATGAATAAAATAAAAAGAATTAATCAAGAAGTATTGAATCAAATTCCATCAATACTTCTTGATTGATTCCTCATGCCCACGTTGACCTTTGGTGAGAACTTAGTGCATGCAATGATTTCCACGTAAACTATTTGTCGATTTGGTTACATTGAACTTTGTGAATGGAATGATTTCCACATAAACTATTTCTCAGTTTGGTGCGCTACTTTGGCTTGTCATGTTGTATGCCCCTCTCTGCAAGTGTAAATCCTTCGTGACAATCTGCCCTCCGTTACTATCGAGTAGTTTTCGTTGCAGGCATAGGTACAAAAAGCCCACTTGTCTCTCTCTCCCTCACACCTACTTTTGCCCATGACTGGGCCTCCTGGTTCTAAAAGCTGTGTAGTATTTACTATTCCTATCCTGTGCAATAAATTTGAGCACCTATCACACACGGGCGACCTTTGTCCAAAGTCGGCAATTCAATGGTTATTCAAATGTCAGAGGCAGAGGCAATCATTGGTTCTTTGACATGTGGTCGTCACCTATCCGTCACTCAGAACCGAGGGTCTGCTCGTATGCTAACCTCCCTGATCTGGTTGCATCTGATGGTTCTCATCTGGAAGGTTCTAATTTGCTTTTTATATCGATCTCTTTGCTTTTTGGTTTGGCACTTTGGACCATTTGCCTGCTGGCATCCAGATGGAGTTCATTCAAGACCTTGTTGAGTTCCTATGTTCCCGGGGTCAGGGGAGGCTCATTCCGGCAGGGGGTATTGGCAACTTCCCTGATGTAATTTTGAACGGGACGCGTCTTGATTTGTTTAGTCTGTATCGAGAGGTGAGCTTGCCCACTCACTTGTTTTGTTTTTAATCTAAGTGTTGACATTCCTCCGAATGGCATGTGGTTATGAGAGGCACTGGCTGTGGTATGTTTAACTGGCTTGAGTGCAATTGCATGGTATGGTCTGAGGACACTCAGCATGTGATTGCTTCCTTGTGCGAGTAACACTCTCTTGTCAAATGGATGTCATTGGGAAGCCTTGGGGTGATCGTGCGATGATTCAACCCAAAGAAGACACGTTTAGGCTTCGGCTCTGGCATAGATGGATGGGTAGATGGCTGGATGGATGGATGCATGGGATGGGATAGAAGTGGATGGGATAGGATGGATGGAAAAGGATGGGAAGCTCAGAAGGGAGTAGAGACAGGCACAAGCAGATATCATTGGAAAGCCCTGGGGTGATAGTGTGAGGATTCAAATTTCAAAGATATTTTTACCCTCTGGAAGAATAGGCCTCAGCTCTGGCATAGATGGATGGGTATGTGGCTGACTGGATGGATGATTGCATGGGATGGGATGGGATGGGATAGGATAGGATGGGCGGAAAGGGAGGAGTAGCCCAGAAGGGACAAATGGATGGATGGGACGGATAGGATGGGACAGGTGTCACCAAGCAGCCTAGCTCAGTTTGTACACCAGTGAAAATCCTGCCGGACCTTGATGAATGGAATAAATCGTTCTGAATTACCTAGGGCCGGTCCGATCGATGAAGATATCCCCAAGGCCGGCACCCTTTTTTTTGTTCGAAAAAAATGGATGGGATAGGAGTGCAGGAAAGGTGTAGATAAGTTCGGAGTTGCACGTGATCGTATGGGATGGCATATAGGACAGGATGAACAGAAATGATTCCAGTGGATGAATAGCTCCTTTTCTATTTGACTTTTTTGAGATGACTGTCAGCCAAAAGCTGTTTGTACTATCATTTTGCAGAACACACATTTTTTTTCAGATTTTTTTGGACTGCCTGGCACCTTGCCCGAGCCTTGCCCGGCCAGGCCTGCCGGGATCCCACACCTAAGGGCCCTGGGCCACCTGGATTGTATCCTACATAGCTATGAAGTGTTTTCCACGGTGCTCGAGTCGTCACATTCCTCTTTTGCAGTGCAAATGAGATAAGAGTCACAAGGCATTGACTCGTACAGTTGGATGGGTCACACCCGACAACCAGTCTTACCTCTTGTTTGCTCATCGACTGTCTATATGGACCTGGCAAGCTACTGAAACTGCTGTCTTCTGTAGATCAACCTTGCAAACACACCCATGAAAGACACAGCCCTTATATGACAATGATCAAGAATGAGGAAGAAGGCGAACAGGACAGCTTTTACGACTGGAAGGCTATCAGGGTACAGCTAGTTTGGACCTTTGGTGGATGAAAAAGGACAGCTTTTACGACTGGAACGCTATCAGGGTACAGCTACCGTCTTCCCCCGAACATAACGCACCCTGAAAATGAACGTATGCAAGGCATGTTTCCGGCCCGATACAGTCAAAATGAGGGTGCGTTGTGTTCGGGGGAAGACGGTAGTTTGGACGAAGAACGAGGAGTTTGGCTGAATGGCACACACATGTAACGGTTAACGAACACATTATGAGTTCAAATCCTCTTGACTGAATCGGATGGATACAATAGCTGAGGGGGGAGGTCGACAAGGAACTCAGAGCTAGGGCGGACTGGCACTATGCCCATGTTAAGAGGGAATGAATCTGCCCAGTTTTACTTGACAGGCACCTTGACTGAACATGAACATAGTGCCAGTGGAACTGAAGCCTTGCTTTGTTGTTCGTGCTGTTTGTGTTGGGTACATGAGTTCTCACAAGGAAGGATTAGTGGAAATTTGGAAAGCATGTAGAACGAGTGCAAGTTTTCTGCAAGCTTATATAAGTTTCTTGTGGGTGGGTAAATGTGGGCCATTATTGAACTTTAGAGAGGAAAGAATGAGGACTAGCCATGCTAAGAGGGCACAAATATGACCAGTTTTGCTTGACAGGTCCTTGTTAGCACCTTCTGAACACGAACATAGTGTCAGTGGAACTTCACCCTGGCTTTGTTGTTTGTGCTGTTGGTGAGTATATATGAGAGCTCACAGCGAAGGATTAGCGAAAAACATGCAGAACGAGTGCAAGTTTTCTGCAAGCTTGTATAAGCTTTGCGGGTGGGTAAATAAATGTGGAGCATTATTGAACCGTACAGAGGAAAGAGGAAAGAATGGGGAGTAAACCTCTGTTGCCCAGTATGTGTGAGCATGTGAACTACCAACTACAAGAAGCTGCCGCAAACCAGATAGTCAAAAGCAAAGAAATATGCCTGAGCTGTGGAACGCTTCCGTCTTCACCCGAATAAAACGCCCGCCGCCCAGTCGTTATCGCTGCAGCTGGTCTGAAAGCTGCCCCCAATACAGCTATAATGACCGGGCGTTCTATTTTGCTGAAGACGATAGCACGTTGCACAACAGGGCTTTCCCCCCTTAAAAAAACAAAGCCTTAAGGTTCTTGGCTCCTTATCCATTCTGGGGAACATCGGTACGGCTCCTTTTTTTTTTTTTTTTTTTTTTTTTAAATTTGGACCATTTCTCGATTTGTGCGTGTCATCCTTGCGCAGGGGCCATGGTAATCTTCTCTGTATCATTCCAATTTTAACGGATGTCCCGAAGGACAACATCGGTACGGTTCCTATTCCCCTGGCAAGTCAGAAAGGATACGAAGCTGATGCAACCCCGATAGTCGTAGAAAAGCGAAGAAATATGCCTGAGCTTAGGAAGGCTTGAAGCAACGTAGCCTTAAGGCTCTGGCTCCTTATCCATTCTGGCGAGCATCGGTCCGGTTCCTATCCCCCGGGCAAAGGAACTTATATCATATATATTATATACGCGCCGGCGCTTCTCCCCATTATTGCAGAAAAGGCTCATGCATTTGTCTGATATGGATGATGCTTTCTGTGACTGATTTTCGCTGGGTCAGCTGCCCCAAAATATCTGCTGCAGGTAGTGTCTCGTGGAGGGTTCCATGTTGGAAATGGAATAAACTGGAAAGGTCAAGTGTTTGCAAGAATGCGCAACCATACGCTAACAAATAAGATGACGGTAAGTTTGCCTGCACCATGAATTCTCTGATGGATGCTGGAAGGGCACGGTTTCCGGTTGACATGGTCTTTTTGAATGGCTGGAGTGGCCGGTGAAATAGAAAGTCCTTTCTCTGAAATGTCTTCCTCGCCACTCTTGGGCTCTGCGACAGTCGTTTTGTTGGTTTCAGTGGGCGTTCTAGAGGCATTCGTTGAGGGTTCTGTGCAATGTCCTTCTTACCTCTCTTTGTTTGCTGCAGTCGTTTTTTCGTCAAGTTGGTTGAATGGCCACTTTGGCTGAGGGTTAGAGATGACCACAAGGCATTACTTCCGTTTTGAATTAAATGCAAGGAACCATCCAATGAGTACGCTATATTTCTGAAATGCAAAAGCTCGCAGAAGACCAAGCATGAGTGACCCGATTTGAAAACAGAATTACAAAAGCCGAGAGCACACCAATTAGGAACCAACTGTACAGCCCATCGGAACATACGTTAAAATTGCAACGATGCAGAGAAGATGAGCATGTCCCTTGCACAAAGATGACACACATAAGGGAAGAAAAAGGAAAGAACGAAAAAAAAAGGAACCAACTGGCCACTAAAAATCTCTTGACAAGGAAAACCCCAAGTTCTCTCCTCCCATAACAAATACAGCAACAATTGTAGTAGCCCTACTGTGATAAGCCTGCCGTATGCTACTCTCCACTCCTACTACACGCGCTTGTCTACTGCCCTCACAATCCATGTCTCCACTTGCCACTGACTAGCTGCTGCTGAAGAGTCTGCTCACACATGTACCCCTCACCAACACGAGTTACGCACCGCCAGTCCCCACTGTCTTCCTCTTCCTTGATTTCCTCTACACCTCGCCATCCAGCTCTCTGCTTAGCGCTGCCCAGCTATGGCATGCGCCAGCACAGCATCCGCCACAGCTGCCTTCCCTTGCCCTGTTGCCATCTGGCCGCAATGCGCTGCTCCAGCACTGCTGCATGCTGCCGATGCCCAAATTGTGTTTTCCAGTAGCGGCCTCTGTCCTTTTGTTCTTTCTGGAGGCTGCAACCTGGGTCCTAGTTGGCGGTCTGGTCCCTATACTGGTCTGATTTAGGGCCGGCCTCTGTAACTAGTTGCAGGGGGGGCCTACGGGTTTGTTACAGGACCTGGTGCCTAGCTCATACCCAGTTCCCTCCCCGGCTCGCCCTTCAGTTAGGGCCGACCTTGTTTTTCTCAGACCCGCCTTCACTTAGGGCAGCCTGTACATTTTCATGACGGCCTTGGCGACATGGCCTTCTGGGTCAATGTTAGCCTCAGACTGTGCTGTAACCCAGACGTTCACAGCACTTGGATCTCCGCTGTTCCTTGGGACCCAGCAAGGTCAGTCCGAGCAAATATGTTCTTGCTTCCAGTCCGCTTGTGGCACGTTCTGCCTTGTGTTGGAGCTGTGTCTTGCATACTGCCTTGCTGTCACCAGTGAAGAAAGTCTGGGAAGCGCTGTGTGCCGTGCTGCCTTGCTGTTGCCAGCCAAGAAAGTCTGGGTGCGAAGCCATAGAGAGAGGTAGTGGGGCAACCATCCATAACTGATAGTACTAAAGGGTGTGTGTGTGTGTGCGTGCGTGTGTGTGTGTGTGTGTGTGTGGGTAGTGGGGCAA